ACTTGTGGAAGATCTTGTTCATGTAGTCCATGAACACCGCAGGCGCATTGGTCACCCCAAACGGCATCACTAAATACTCATAGTGACCATACCGCATCCTAAACACCGTCTTAGGCACATCCTCATTCTTCACTCGGATTTGATGGTACCCTAATCTCAAATCAATCTTCGAAAATACTATTGTTTCCCTTAATTGGTCCATCAAATCATCGATCCTTGGAAGTGGATACTTGTTCTTGATTGTTACTTTATTTAGTTGCTGGTAATCCACACACATTCTCATGCTCCCGTCTTTCTTTTTCACCAAGAGCACTGGAGCTCCCCACGGTGACACACTTGGTCTCACAAACCGTTTCTGCAGCAAGTCCTCTACTTGTTTCTTAACCTCTGTCAACTCCACTAGTGACATTCTATAAGGTGCCGCAGAAATCGGGCTTGCCCCTAGAATGAGGTCAATAGCAAACTCTATCTCCCTCTCAGGTGGTAGTTCAGAAACATCCTCGGAGAAAACTTCCAAGAAGTCCCTCACTATTGGAATATACTCTGACTCCACCACGCTTTCGGCCTCCATGGAGAACATCATCATAAAGGCTTTGGTGTTTACTGTGTTTTCCCACGCTCCCTGGCTCGTAAGCCTTGGAACTTCTGCCACTGTTGCGCCAAAGATCAGAGTCTTCTCCCTACAGTCCAGCAGTACATGGTTGGCAGCAAGTCAATCCATACCCAGAATTACATCCAGCTGAGAAAGAGGTAGACAGATCAAGCTTACCTCAAACTCCCTGCCATGTACCATTATCGGGCATCCCAAACACACCCATGACGTCACAACTGCTTACCTGTAGGGGTAGTCACACAGTCCACAGACACAAAAGAATGCGTAGCACCCGAGTCAAACGACACATCAAGCAATCTGCCTTTAATTATACATTTACCTCGGATCAGCTCTTCAGATTGTGAAGCCTCTGCTCCAATCATAGCAAAGACTCTCCCAAGAATACTCGGCTTCTGCCCCATACTCGGCCCCATACTCTCTCTTGATTTAGGCCTCTGAGCTGTACTTGCACTGTCGCTCCTCTTGGCGGCCCAACACATATTAGCAGTGTGCCCTGACTTCCCACAGTTGTGGCAAGTTATCTTCGGCTGTGGGTAGTCCTTCACCATGTGTGGCCCTCTACACTAAAGGAACCTGATCTCGAGCCACTCCCACTGCTCTTATCTTGGGAAGAACTCCCTCGGGATTGAGAACTGTTCGAACCCGAATATGGCCCCTTTGAGAACCTTGGGGGTCTCCTATCATGTCTCATGGGGCCAGCTCTCCTAGTGTCCACCGTTTTCCCCCTTTTGTTCGCTTCAAAGATTCTGCTCTTGCTCACCAGGGTGGGCAAGTCCGTCAGTTAGAACACACTGACTGCGGCTTGAATGTCCGGCCTCAATCCGTTCTCAAACTGAGAACATAGCTCTTCCTCCCCATCACCATGCTGGAAATGAGGACAGTACTTCATCAGCTCTTAGAATCTCGCAGCATATTCTCCCACAGTCATGTTTCCTTGCTTAAGCTCAAGGAACTCTCTAACTTTTTTCTTTCTCAGGTCTCGGAGAAACTAATTCCCTAGAAAGATGGCCTTGAAGATTTCCCACTAAATGTAGCTACCTTCTTGCGGCATTGTCTGATTGGCAAACCTCCACCAGTCTTCCACTTCACCACACAGCAAGTAAGTGGCATAGGCCACCTTATGCTCCTCACGATACCCCATGGCATTAAAGATCTTCTCTACATCAGCCACCCACCTTTGGGCTCCCTCAGGATTGAATCTTCCCTCAAACTTCGAAGGATTGTGCCTAGTAACAGTAGACAATCATCGATATTCAACCTGTAACACCTTAAATTTAATTTCAATAATTACAAAATTTTGCAAATTTTTGAAATAGTAAAATTTTCATTTTCAATTTAAGTTTCATCAACCATTTCAAATAAAGAAAGGGATTACAAATTATATCAAATAGTTGCTATAGGACTTATTCAAATACAACAGTTTTTCAAAATAATATCGTAAGTCCTATAGCAGTTTCATTTACCCCTTCATTGGGTCCGGTGCTGATCATCTTGATTACCTAAAAAATGAATGTAAGGGTGAATACTCTACGCTACCCAAAAACACACAGTTAGCATAAAGTCTCACCTCCAGTACATTTACACTACATTAAACAAACACAATCACAGGCACCATAGTCACACAGCTCATGTAAATTCAACACCAATACACTCACGGCATCGGCAGCATTTCACATCCATAAATAATACACAAACCCATGCATATGCACGCTAGCCACACTCACTATGGCACTGTGATCATAGATTTACACCATAAATGGTCATCGGTTACCCCCGCCTCACGGATACCACGTGGGCAGTCACGGGTCGCTCAGCAAGGATAGCAGTTAGAGATCTAGTTAGAAAGAGAATGTGTGGCCCGTGGTGCACCCGTTCCACAGTCGGTGTCACCATCACTCCCTCTTCTCCAAGGTATTTCTACCGTCTTCATCTTTCACACCCCAGTGTATCGCTGAACCATTCACAGCACATTACAATGGCACTAACACACCCATTCACACACATATATTCTATTCACGCATGCAATAATTATGCTTACACACGGCACTAGGCCCACATTCATTTCACATTACACGGCACATAGCCAATATTCTATATTACACGACCCTCGGGCTCACATTTATTTACAATATTCATTCTATCATGCAATATCTAGCATACAATTCACATTCATCCATCTCAGTTAAACACACACAATATTTACATCTCACGGCACACGGACCTTATCATATTTTCTCAATAATTCCCTACCCTCTAACTTAGTTACACCACAATATTTAACAATTAACCGCAATCACACATAATAGAGAAGGATAGAGTCCCCCCTTACCTTGGATTGAAGACCCACACGTTAAATCCACCAAGAAATGCTCTCCCGCACAGACTACGGCCTAAACACATGGAAGAATTCCATGAGAACCCAAGGAAACCACAAAAACAGAGAATGGGGTTGGAAAATAGAAACCCTAAACATTAAAACTCACCTCCAAGCATTCCCCACACGAATTTAACCTTCAATCAAGCTTCCGAACGGCTTTGGAGGCAATATAATCAGTGAAAAGGGGTTTGAAAACGAGAAGATCAAATGGATTTTGCGACGCCCTCTATCGCCACAGCGAAAATCTCAGACAAAATTGCACTATGGTTTCTGCAGAATCTCGTAACAGCGAGACTGCACCCAAAAATGCACCCCAAACTGTCGTTCTCTCGCTACAGCGAGAAGGTGACAGTTCTGGTCCTTCCTCCCAGGGTTTTCTTGCTACAGTGAGAACAACCCAGAATTACACCCTGCACTTAGGCACTCAGCCTATTTCAACTCTATCCAGTCATGCATACACACAATACACACATCCATATACATAATATACATAAACATCATTATCAAGTAATTCAATACACACACACACACACGCACACACACACATATATATATATATATATACACATTTAGATTTATATAATTAATAATAATTAATATTACAAAATTAGGGGCATTACAAACTCTCCTTTGTTAAATGCTGAGTTAGCCAACAGAAAGCCCAGCTTAGCGTTGCCACATGGCACCACATGACTTGCCATGTCATTTAAATTTTTATTTTTTATTAATTAAAATTAATATTTACTAATAAGTCTTTAAATATATTTTATATAAATAATAAATAAATTCATCTTATTCCTCTTTCTCTTTCCATTGCCCTATTCTCTCCCCCTCCCACCATCTCCATTCCCATGCTCCACCTTCTCCTATTCCCCTTCTCGTTCTCCACATTTTCATTCCTACCACCCTTTCCCTTAAACCACAATTCCTCCTCCTCCTCACACATCCATCCCCACCTCCTTTTCTAAACCACAACCCCTCCCCCTCTCCACACTCCTTTCCCTGAATTGCAACCCTTTCCCCTCCCCTAAATGCATTACCCACTCTACTATCCCACACCACCCCACTTAACCCTAACTCCAATTCTTATCCTATGCACAATATTTATTATTAATATATTACACCTTTACATTTATTGAGATTGTATTGGATTCAATGGTGTATGTGCATGTGTACAAACTTAAGATCCCACATCCAAAATTACCTACTCAAGAGAAAAATAGAAAAGTTAAAGTTTTGGAAGTGAGGGAGATTGGAGAAGAAAAAAGTTTTTTTTTTTTTGCAAATATATAAAATATGTTTAAAGATCTTTTTGTAAATATTTATTTTAAATAATAAAATATTATAAAATAAATAACATGACAAACTACGTGGTGTCACATGACAGTGTTGAACTGGCTTTCTTTTTGTTGAGCAGCTCAACATTTAACAAACCAAAAAAAGTTAATGGTAAGAAATAAATTTTAACTTCTTAATATTTCAAAGATTAAATTCTAATAAAAAAATTTATAAAGACTCGGTGTTTATAAGGAACAAAAACATAATTAAGTCTTAAAAATATAAACAACTAAATTAATCCCCATTTATAATTTCAGAAACTGATTTGGAATTTATCCATATCTGACGGAGGGACATACTTTTTGAATTAAAGAAATTAACAGATTTTATTAGTAAAAAAAAATATTGGGACCAAAATCACACATTACTATGAGTATTGGAGTTACAAAATAAAGACGAAAAAAAGTGTTCTGGAAAGAACCACAATTAAAAATAATATTGACCCCTGTATTAACAGCATAAAAGTCATTGTCAAAGCAACAAAAAGATAATATTCATACAATTTTATCTTAAAATAAAACCCCGATTATTAATTGTTTTGTAAGGTATGAATAACATTTCCGATGGCCTTTCCATTGAAATAGAAGTGAATGGATTATTCTACTGCTCTAAATTGCTGAACTCCTCCAAGTAGAAGTAGTGTCAAAACAACACCTTCTATGTTCATCACCTTTACTCCATTCTCCAAATAGGTATGCAGTATATTAAGATCCCTAAAAAAAATGAGGCACAGATTGTGATCATAGTATATGCATATGCTCTCCAAGGGTGCATGCTTTCTCTCATTGCATTGAACTCAGAAGCAAAGGTAGAAACAGTACTTAAACAACCCAAAAAACCAAATTGTATGCCTGATAAAATAACATCACAGTTCCTGGTGTTCACCTGCATCAAAGAGGTGACATACACTGATTGCAATCTCTGAATCTCCAAAATTACAATGAAGATTCTTGAAATTTTTTTATATGAGATGAGATCCTCAATATCAAAACAATAAGAAAGGAAGAGCACTAAAAGAGATAACTGGCAACTAGCTACATTTAAGGAAAATAAAAATAGTGTCAATTTTATAAGCTCTTGTTGAGGCTTGTGCCCATACCTAGACCTTAGCATGTAACCTTAAACTTTTGTATATTTAACAACCCAAACTAAGAGTGTTTTGTTCCAAAAGCCAAAGTTGTATGAGAAATCCAATTCATCAATACAAAACAAACAATCTTAAAAACTACTTTTGATTCTTTGAAAACTAGCTTAGTGCTACGCAAGTTCAGTCACAGGATAGTGTGAAGAATGATATTCTAGAAACTTACAAATTTCTTCATTGTAGCAAGTGCAGCCATAAAAAAAGCAGCAGATACATTTGCAATTAGAGTCCCAAATGGAATCCAATTCAACAAACCTGTTGCTCCTAATCCACATCCGTTTAGTCGAGCCAATAGCCATCTAATCCAAACACCTGGAGGTCCAACTATGCAAGCAATCCATAACACAGTAGAATTTCCACCATTCTTGAACTCAGCATCCATTAAAACACCACTAATACCCAAGAACAAGCCTAAAACCAACAATAGCACCACCATAACTACCAAGTGATGCTTCAACCCTCCTTCCACCTTTTCATTGATCTTGGATCTACAAGTTTCACTTCCTGAACTCACATTTAGCTTTCTAAGAAGCCACCTAAAACCCTTGGCTGTTTCTATCCCAAATGTGATGGAAAAGGCAACAAGAAATAATCCTGTAGAGTTCAGTCAATAAAAAATCTTCTTATCAAAATTCATTCATGCTAAGACTGGGATATTTTAACATGACATTGAATGGGAAGCGAAATGCACAAAGCCAAAAGCTTTGAATAAGACAGCCATGCCACTTAAATGTACTTATCAAATGTCTCATACTAATATTACCAATTAAAAAGCCAAGCACACACAAGAGCCAATTCCCATTAACACTGAGTTCAAGCATTTTTTGATTCCAGCCGCTGAACGTTGTTAAGCTCCCCAAGTAACCAGTTGTCAGTGCCATAACCAGATACTCTGACACATTTGATATGTCTGCTTTGAATTCAACACCAAACCATCCCATCATAAATGATCCCACCTAGAAAGATATTCAGAAAATTAGCATTAAGACATACTCTAAATCAGCACAGTATTATTTCAATATCAACTTTTAAACTATCAAATTGACTCTACAAAAGCAATACTTTTATTTACATAAATAAGTTACTTTTCAGGTTCTGGACAAGTTATATCTAAACCACTTACAAGTCACTTCTAGTAATTGTAGAGGTAAAGAATTTTTATTCTGCTAATAATTAACATAGTAAAGGCTAAGATATGTTTTTACTACTTGTCTATTTTCTAGTTCTACAGTTCACTATTAACATAATACTTAACAATAGTCTAGAAACACCCTATTCTCTACTTACTATCCTTACTTAGTTAAGAATCACAATTAATTCTTTTCTTTTGTTCTGAAAATTTTAACCAAATGTATGTGAAAATGACTTAATTTAATCCATTTTATGCATTCTTTACTTACTTAAGAGTCTAAATGAATAAGATTTCTTTTGATGACAAAGCTTCATTGTAGCTCCCTGAGGCAGTGTCTTTGGAATTAATCTGTACTTCCTAGTGACAATCGGCCATTCCTAGTAGGAACAAGCCAAAACAAAGAGACATTTACTGTCATTCATTCCACATTCTTATTGTGATTAAGAATCATTATAGTTGTTATTTTCTTTCTAGCAAATCTAACCAAATTATGTGTTGTACACATAGCTTACATGATTTTTATTTATGTTTATGTGCATTATACATTTGTGCATATGAGAAATACCATATTAGAAGGCAGGTCAAGGTAAAGAATAGTTTGATCACTTGTCAAACGACCAACGCCGGGGCCAAATAACTTGCCCAGTATGTATCTTGTTAATACCTGCATAATAATTACAAAAGCACAATGGTGAATTAGTATCATACTGAAGAAAAGGACATTTTTGGCTTGGGTAATTGTTTTTATTTTCATTTCCTTTTTTCACAAATAATCAGAAAATACCACCTTAGTTTCACCTTGTTTTCAGTTTTTCAATATGAAAATTAAATTTATTTAATACATACACATAGAGCTTGTATTGCATTATAAGTTACTCAAACTCAATTTTTTGCTTCTCTAGAACACATTACAAATTGCAAGAGTGCAAAGCTTTTCTACTTTAAACTCTACCCTAGTATTTGTATGAACTTCAACAGTTCAGAACTAAGATAATCAAGTATTTCTATAAAGATTTAATTAGCCAAATGTTCAAAGAATATGGAGATGCTCGAGTAGGATGATTAATAATATATGACACATAATTTTGTGACATAGAACGATCACCAGAAGCAACATGTGTATGCAACTTCTAAATGCAGCTCGTGTTTTAACATCTAAGCCTCATTTTTTGTCCTTGTTTTATCTAATGTCATCCCTAGGAAGTTCTTAACACTTGTAAGAATATGGGATAAGAATGGTAATTTGAGATAGAAGGGTACACAACATGTGTAGCGGCATCTTTTCAGCCTAAAACCAATACATTATGCAAGAAACAATGCAGTTAAGATACAGTATAAAATCCAAATATCATTAGGTTAAAGATGATGAAAAAACATATAGAAACTAAAAGAACAAGGAACATTTATATTGAATACTAAACATATGAGTGCCTTTTATACACATTTAATTAAGACAACTATTCTTAATAGCTTTAGGTTCATATCTCTTGTTCTTTCCATCTTCCCTATTGCTGTGAACAGAGCATGAACAGTATCCTACATGGACATGAACGATACTCCACCTGTGCAACTCTTTTCGCCAGTGTGGCTCCTTGACCATCCCTGGAGCCTGCCAATGACTCTACTACCGGCTTTGTTGTGCCTTATCCTGCTCTGTTTTTTCTGACCCTGATCAGCATGGTTGCCGCAGACTCTACCTTTAATTCCATTGGTACTAATATACAATGAATATTTACAACTCAAGGCAGCTTAACAGCCTACCTCATCCTTTGACATTGGATTCTCGACTCTTGTACACCTGACCATATGTCTAGTAACAATTTCTTTTTCTCATTTGTCTTACATGGATTCTTTGCCTTGTGTCACCCTCATAGATGGTTCTCAAATCAACAATTAAGGCATTGGTCAAACACATCCTTTCCTAACCTTGCATTAGATTTTGTACTTTAGATGTCATTGGTGATTTGGAGGAAGAGATATACATAAAGCAACCTCATGATTTTTCAGATCAATGGACAGAAAGACTACCTGTGTGCAGACTAAGAAAGAGCTTGTATGGTCTAAAGCAGACTCCAAGAAAATGGTACAAGAAGTTTAAGTCTTTATGTGTGAGCAAAACTATAAGAAGACTGCTTCTCATCACAGTGTATTTGTTAGAAAATTTTTTGATGATGACTTCATTATCCTGTTATTATATATTAATGACATACTTATTGTTGGAGAAAATATTTCCAGAATTGATAGATTGAAGAAACAATTAAGCGAGTTATTTGCCATGAAAGACATGAGAGTTGGTAACCAGATTCCTGGTATAAGAGTCATTCGTGATAGACAAGCAAAGAAACTTTGGTTGTTGCATGAACACTGTGTTAAAAGGGTGTTGCAGATATTTCATATGAAAAATGCTAAAGCAATGAGTACTCCTCTTGCTAATCATTTTAAACTGAGTGCTATTCAAAATCTTTCAAATGAAGCTGAGAAGACAAATATGAGCAGAGTTTTTTAAGTATCTATAGTAGGTAGTTTGATGTATGCAATGGTGTGCATAAGACCGTACAATCAATAGATTTTTGTCTAATCCAAGTAGAGAGCACTGGAATATTGTGAAATGGATCTTGAAGTATCTTCATGGTAGTGGTTATTTGAGGCTTTGTTTTGGAGGTGATAGTCTACTTTGGTGGAATACTCAGACTCAGATATAGCTGGAGACATTGATTCCATAAAATCCACTTCGAGCTATTTGATTAAGTTTGCAAGGGAGCTATGACTTGGCAATCTAAATTGCAAAAGTGTGTTGTTTTGTCTACTACTGAAGTAGAGTTCATTGTCATTACAAAAGCATGCAAGGAGTTGCTTTGGGTGAAGAAATTCTGGCAGGAGCTAGGTTTTTTCAGGAAAAGTACTTGTTATTATGTGATAGTCAGAGTGCAATTCATCTTAGTAAGAATCCAACATTATTCTAGGTCCAAGAATATTGATGTACGGCATCATTGGATACTCAAAAGCAAGAATCCATGTCTAATGAAGAATGGGACTTTGACCATCAAGTGGTTTTATTTGGCATTTTGTAGATAATAATGTTTATAATCATATTACGAGTGAGACACATGTCAAGACTTTATGAGACAAGATTGAATCTCTGTATGCCTCAAAGTGTGGCAACAACAAATTATTTTTGTTGAATTCTATTGTGAGTTTGAAGTATAAGGAAGACACTTCTCTTTCAGATCACTTGAATGAGTTCCAAGGGTTCCTTGATCAAATGTCAGGAATAGGCATCAAGTTTGAAGATGAGATTTTGGGATTGTTACTTTTGAATTCTTTGCCGGAGTCTTAGGATACTTTTAACATCTTTGTCACAAATTCAGCCCCTAATGGTGTTGTCACTTTACAAATAGGAAAGGGTAGTGTTTTCAATGAGGAGATGAGAAGGAAGGCACAAGGTTCTTAATCTCAGTCTCAAGTACTACTCACTAATAATAGAGAGAGAAGTTAGCAAAAGGAACAAAAAGGAGGAAGAGAGAAGAGTAGAAGTAAGTCCAAATTCAAGTACAAGAATGTAGAGTGTCATTATTATCACAAAACAGGGCATACACAGAAGTATTATTTCTTGTGGAAAAAGGAAAAAAAAAACAAAAAGGGTAAGTCAAAAGAGAAGAACCATGACAATGTTAATGATTGTGTCACTGCTATTACAGGTGATGATTTTGTTCTTCTCCGTGACCATGAGTCAGTTAACCTTATATCTAATGAGAGCATATGGGTTATTGATAGTGATGCTACACTGTATGTTACATCAAGGAAAGAGTTCTTCACATTTTGCACTTCAAGTGATTTTGGAGTGTTGAATATGGACAATGATGGTGTGTCTACGATGAGTGGTGTTGATGATATTTGCTTGCAAACCAATATGGGATTGCAATTATTGTTTAGAAGAGTCAAACATGCTCCAAATATCCGCTTTAATTTGATATTTGTGCATATGCTTGATAATGGTGGTTATGATAACCAATTTAGTTTTGGGAAATAGAAACTCACCAAAAATAACTTGGCTATGGTCAGGAGAGAAAATTTCTTAATTGTATTAGACAAAAGCCTTAGTTGGTAAAGACAGTGTGAGTGTCATAGATACAAAGGCATATTTGTAGCACCGAAAGCTTAGTCATATAAGTGAAAAAGGACTTGATTGTTTAGCCAAAAAAAACAATGTGGATAAAAATTTCCTAACTTGCAAGAAACTATGAGGAGAAACAACAAATAGAAATGACAGCAGTAATAACAAAAAAATCACACAAGAGATACCAAGATTTTTAACCTAAAAAAATGCCTTTAACATAAGAGGTAAAAATCCACGAGTCACTAAGAATAAAAAATCAATTCACTATCATTAAATAGTGTACAAGAGAGTCTAATCAAGAGTACAAACTCACTTGTTCACTACCTTATTCTGTTCTTTTTTTAATAACTTTGTTTTCTTACCTCCCTTTGATTGTGATGTTGTTAATTCTCCAACTCTTTTATATAAGTGTTTAAGTCATCTTAGTCTTAACAAAATGTGTATAAGTTTTAGTTTTTCTAGAGTGTTGTCTTTTTAACGTGTCTTCTCAGTTAGACAAGCATACTAGAAATACTTATACAAATCAAGTCAATAAATCACTTGCCTCACCTTTTGCTTTAGTTCCCTTACATAATTGGGGTCCTAATAATTTCCATTCCACTTTAGGTTACCATTATTTCGTTACTTTCATTAACGATTTTTTTAATGTACTTGATTATTCTTAATGAAAAATTGTTTCAATGTTTTTATAATATTTCAAGGTTTCTTCTCCGAAATTCATAATCAATTTGCTATGTCTATCAAAGTTCTGGAAAATGATAACTGGTGAATATTTTGGTTGCTCCATTTCAGTCTTTATTGACCTCGAAAGGCATTGTTCATCAAACTTCTAGTACTCACACCTGCAAAACCGTGTTCCCGAAAGAAAGAACTAACACTTGGTGAAACAGCTCGTGCTTTACTCCTTTTATCAGTGTTCCTCTTTGCTTCTAGGATAACACTTTTCTCACAGCTTGCTACTTAATCAACTGCATGCCTTCTTCTATCCTTTAAAATCAGGTTTCCCATTCTCTTTCGTTTCCCACACAAGATTTATTTACTACTCCTCGCTGAGTTTTTGATTGCACATGTTTTGTCCACGACCTCATTTAAGGTAAAGATAAAGTTTCTGTGAAATATCTCAAATGTGTTCTTTCTTGGCTATTCTTATTTACAAAAGGATTATCGTTGCTATTCTCCAACAATATGTAGTCTCTTCTTTGATCATTATGACGTTACCTTCTTTGAATCATGTTTATGCAGTAAAAATTGGACATGATGGTCTTGTTAATCATTTAAAAGCTGCTCTAGTAGTCTAAGGATTTACACAGATTTTTTGTTTTAATTATGGGGACACTTTTTCTCCTGCAGCTAACATCACTTCAATTCATTTCTTTCTTGTCATGTTCGCCATTCATCATTAGCCTCTTCGTCAATGGAATATTAAAAATGTCTTCTTGCTGAATTGCAGGAAGAGGTTTACACAACCAGCCACATTCAAGAAGTAATAATTATTATAAAAAAATGTGAATATCATGATGAACTTGACAACCACAAGTTAAGTTCTTTCACAGAAAAAACAATCAATTTTCAAGTTTTTAGAAAGAGTTCAAAATGCCAAGGTTCCAATGAGACATGATCATAGCATCATTATTTCACCCAATAAATAAATAAATGCTAACATAAACTTGTATGAAATTTTGAAGATCAGCAGCACATTACCCCAAGGATAGCAAAAACAGCCAAATGAACCAGACATAAAGCATAATGCAGTAACTTTGGCAATTTTTTATGAGATTCCTGCAAGTCGAGACAACAAGCACTATTGCATTATTTACAACAAGGAAAATAAAATGTTCTGATCATTCATCATCTAATTAACAGAATGAAACCAAGAAAAACCTTGGCCACACAAGCCCTGGTCCTGAAAATTGTTAAATAAAAATCACCTGTTTTATGTGTTCAGAACCTTCTCTTTCAATGCTAAGTAAAGGTGACACCATTTCAGATGGAAATGGCCCAATAGAGGAGACAGAATTGGATTTACCAGGGTAAGGCCGGAATTTGTGAACACCTGGATTTGAAACAACATCCTCATTTTTTAAATTTGTGTCAGAAGGCAAGTAAAGGCTGCCCCTCAAACTATGTCTAAAGCTATGAAAAACTCCATCACCCATGTCTCCTGCCTCTGAAACATGCTTACTCTCAGCATCAGGATCCATATGATGTGCTGCTATAACTTGATGAACTCTTAAAATGTTGCCTACTAGTGAACAACTTCAGCTACCACACTATGCCTGGCTTTCTCTTGATGTAACTAACTACAGCCACAAGTCCTAAACAGTGGCCCTGAACTCACAAAAATCCACTGAAATGTTACTTTTCTCTTTCCTCCTTCATACTAAATATTGAGGACAAATCCTTGTAAAAGTACAATAAATGTTAACCAGTGTTCTAAAGCCAGTAATTAAAAAAAAAATTAAGTATAACAATGCACTCTTGTATCCCTGATTATTTTGAATGCACTCCCAACATGTTTTTTAATAAAACTTTCTATTCGTGATTCCTGAAACAGTGCCACACAGAAAATCGGTTAATTGAAACACTGGTTAATAAGAACTTAATGTTCTATTTTGGATGGAGGAAAAATAGAGTAAAAAGAAATAAAAGAGTAAGAAATAGAGTAAAAATAGAATGAAAAATATTTAATATTTGGATGAATTAAAATAAAGAAAAAAATAAAAAATCAATTATTTTTCCTCATTTAGATGAGTAAGAAAGATCATAAATAAATAAATAAATTTTATTAAAAAGAGTCATAAAAAACTAAAATCAAGTCCAAAAAATTAATATTTTATTATAACCTTTTTTCTTAATAAATATTTTATTTTTATATTATATAAATAATTTTAATAAATTGAAAACAGAATATTGTTTAAAAAAAAAAAAAACCCACCCCATAATCCTCCCCCTTTCCCTTGTTTTTGGGGATTTTTTTTTTTTTCATTTTTTTAAGCCTCACTCCCAAAATTTTTTATCCCTTTTCTTTATCCAAATATCTAAACTTCCTTTTTTTTTTCTCTAGAATTTTCTTTCCTCTGCATTTTTCAACTCCCAGGTCCCAACCAAACACAACAAATGTCCCATTGATGAAATTTATAAACAATTTATGTAAACAAAGGCACTGGTGTTGACACCAAAAGGAGTCAACAAATAATTAAAAAAACTAATTACCATTAACATATAATATATTACTTTGTAAAGAAAAAAATAAAAAAAAATTCTGCCTCGTTGAATAATTGAATAAATATATATATATATATATATATATATATATATACAAGAGAGAGTATCTATAATTATACTATTGTGTTTACAACTCTGCAATACTATTTCTATAAATCAGTTATTCTAATATAAATAATTATAATATTTTATTTAAAAATCTCAAAATATGATTGATTTCTTAATATACTTAAAATATAAGAAAAGATTTAAGACTAAAAATGTCGAAAGTACTATGTTTGATGAACACACTAGTGGAAGACTTGGTAGTGTGTATGGTATTGGTTGATCACGCTGTTTCCACTGGTGTACGTTTTTTGTTTTTTTCCTACTATTTTTGTCGTAAGGATTTGGATCATCTCAAATGCTAAAAAACCAACATAAGCAAGTTCAAACACTACTGGGACCTCACTATTTTTGTCTTTCTTTCTTGTCATATGTAACATGAAAAAGCAAACACCAAAGAATCGAAATCAAGTAAATACTTTAATTTTTAATTTGTAAACATTCATCAAATTAATCTTTAATTTCATAGAAATCTTATTTTAATTAATTTTTAACGTTTTAAAAATTACTTATAAAATTTTTATAAAATTAAAATTAAAATAATTAATAATTATAATCTGAAGAATTTGAACAAGATAGCTGATTTGGTATGCAGACACCATTGCGTGCTTATTTGGCAAGGTGAGAATTGTTAATATTCAAACTCAACTAAATTAAACTCGTTATTTTTATGTTTCGTTCAAATGAAATTTTGTATGAAAATTAAACCAAAATGAATCACAAACACACTTAAGTGTTAACATGGAAGGCTCCTAGATCTTTATTACTTTGATTTTATAAGGAATTTTTTAAATAAAATGAAAAGGATGTCAAAAACATATAATAATTATTTTTCTAAAAAAATAAGATTTAATTACATTTTAGTCTCTATACATTAATTAATGTGCAATTTTAGTTCGTTGAAATATACTTTTATATATTAATTTTTTATTTAAAATATTGTTAGTAAAAATTATTATTCATTATATTACCTTTTTTATATTATAACAAAAACATTAAAGTATAGCAAAATACTTATATAGAAATTAAAATATATTTTTTAATATAAAAATTAATTCATAAATCAACGTCAACTACATATATTAAATGTATATTTTTATTATTTTCAATTATTTTAAAGTATCTACCAGCATGCCCACCAAATTTGCTATTGTACCTTTTGTTATTATTATTTTTACTGTTTTTTTTTATCTATTTCCATTTAAAAAAGAAAAAAATGTATTCACTTTCAAAGTTTAAGAAAATATTTATTGCTTTTTTCTTTTATTATATCCTTTTCATTTATAAAATTTTTAATTATTTTACACATTTATCATTAGATAAATAATTAATCATTGTAAAGTCCAAAATTTAATTAAATGAAGTCACAAATCTCTTTATAACTTATCTACACATTAATCTATAAAAGATATTTTATTTTTAATGTTGAGAATTAATGAGTAAAATTAATAAACAAAAAAATTAATTAACATATAAAATTATTTATTGCTATAAAGCTGTTAAAAATATTTTATTTACTTAAAATATTGAAAATAGTAAAATAATATTTTATTTTATTTAAGGTTCTTCCATTTATATGTCACTTGGCGTTTCTACTTGTTTCATTTTTTCATTTTATAAATTATTTACTTTGTTAATGTTTTTGTTAATTTTTTATTTATTTCAATGATTTGTTACTTGATAATTTGTATTCTAACCTTTTTAATTTTTAATTTTATAATTTTTAATTTTTTTAGGAAAAGACTATAAAAATACAATAATTTTTAAAAAATTATAAATTTATTATATGTTAATAGAGAAAAATATTTATTAATATAACTCTCAATATCATAAGAAAATTATTTATTTTCATAATATTTTATCTATTTAAAATTTATGAATGAAAGAAAATAAAATAATTTTATTTCCCTTCAAACTCTTAATTATTTTTTTACGAGACTGAAGACATAAAAAAGTTTATTAGATTCAGTAATTTTTATCAGACAACATGTGAATTTAAAGCACATATTATCAGTCAATTACTTTATAAAGTTAAATAAACATAATTTATTTTCTCTATCGTGTGAAAATAATTATACTAAACACTAATCTAAGTCTACTAAATATTTATGATATTAAATCCTTAAGTCATTATAAGGTATGCAAATAATTTATATTTCAATTTATTACTTAATAACATGACCTTATTAATGTTGTTTGAGGATCACAATTAGCAATTTAGAAATAATTTGTATATAATTTTTAAAAAAAATTACAAAAATATGAGAATTCAAAAATTGTTAATGACAATTTTTGGCAGAGCAATTTTTGGCACTGAATGCAGAGATTTAGAAATAAAATAATTTAAAATTATAAAAATAAAATAAAATATCAAATATTGTCAGTAGCAATTTTTTTAAAACATTATAAAATTTATATAAAGATAACAATTTTTAAAATTTCTCACATCTCTAAAATTTTTCCCAAAATTTCATATTTTGATATTTTAATTTTTATTCATATAAAAAAGCCTCTTATTTCATATCATGAATTTTTAAATACTAAATTAATATTTTTTTTTCATTTTTAACAATCATTCATTTATTATAATATAATTTAAGATAAATAAAAAACTTTCAATATTAAAATTTACATAGAATACATTAAGCTAATCATTATTTACTATACTGATAAAAATTGTTTTGTGATAATTAGTTTAGAGGCAAATTTATTAAAATATTGTAAATTCAAAAACAATTTATTATTTTATAGGAAATCTGAAACAATTTCCCAATCTGGAGTTTTTCCGCCACGTGGCACAAAATTTCGCCAAATGGCTGGCGAAAGTATTAATTTTTAAATTTTTTAATACCTATTTCGCCACAAAAAGAACGAAATACGACTTCTTAGAGCGGTTAAAATAAAACCGCTCTCATAGGTCTATTTAAGAGAGCGGTTCAAATGGAACCGCTCTCATAACCCATTTTAGAGAGCGGTTCCATTTGAACCGCTCTCATAACCCATTTTAAGAGAGCAGTTCAATTTGAACCGCTCTCTTAGGTATATACAGTATCTCGTTTCACGAATTTCACCAACCGAATTGCGAAATGTAAGTGTAGTTTCGCATATTTGATGGCGAAAATTTTCTTTTAATATATTTTTAAATTAATTTCGTTACCGGACCGGCGAAACATACCCATTTCTTCATTTTGGTGGCGAAATTGAACGCTATATATATCTCCCACCCATCTCTCATTTTCATCGGAAGGACAAGAAAATCTCAGGTATGTGTTATTTAATAATTTTATTATTTAATTTTGAATGTATAATTTTAGTTATATTTAATTAATGAGTATTGTTTATTTTATTTATGTTAATTATTGTAAAGTTTAAATATTAAATAAAGTTTATTTGAATAAAATGCAGGATGAGTGGGATTGTTATTATTATATATTGGAATGGTAGAATCTATGAAGGAAATGAAGGAGTAAATTTTGAAGGAAGTAAAAAAGTAATTCAAATAAAACGAGGAATAAGTTATGAAACATTGAAAAGAAAAATTCATGTGAAACTCAATCTTAATCATAATCAAGTGATTTCTAGATTAATTTCTCGTTTTTTGATTGATGAAAATATTAGACAGTATACAGCTTTGGATATATGTGATGATGAAGATATTGATTGTATGATAAGTGCATTTCAACAACAATCTAGTAGAAATATTATTGAGTTATATGTAGATATTGCTGTTGGTGGAAGTTCATCAATGTCCTTACAGACGATGAATTTAAATTTATCACTTTCACAACAAAATGATAGGACCCTTGTGAGTCGTGATTATAATGAAGGTAAAATTATTTTTGTTCTAATGTCTTTTATTTAATATATGTAA